ATTCTGTGTTTGTGTAACATACAGAAGTCTAACGCGGTACAGAAACGATATATAAATTCTGTGTTTGTGTAACATACAGAAGTCTAACGCGGTACAGAAACGATATATAAATTCTGTGTTTGTGTAACATACAGAAGTCTAACGCGGTACAGAAACGATATATAAATTCTGTGTTTGTGTAACATACAGAAGTCTAACGCGGTACAGAAACGATATATAAATTCTGTGTTTGTGTAACATACAGAAGTCTAACGCGGTACAGAAACGATATATAAATTCTGTGTTTGTGTACCATACAGAAGTCTAACGCGGTACAGAAACGAAATATAAATTCTGTGTTTGTGTACCACACAACAGTCTAACGCGGTACAGAAACGATGTATACATTCTGTGTTTGTGTACCACACAGAAGTCTAACGCGGTACAGAAACGAAATATAAATTCTGTGTTTGTGTATCACACAGAAGTCTAACGCGTTACAGAAACGATGTATACATTCTGTGTTTGTGTACCAAATACAAGTCTTACGCGGTACGGAAACGAACGTGCCTGTCCGCTTTCCGCCATCGTCAAGAACTGTTTCAAAATGCTCGATAAAACTTCCTATGAGTAATGGTCGGTGTTAAAATAGAGTATGATAGTTCATCACAATACCGGGCAGAGGTCACCCCGTACTAAGTACGCAGTGCGTAGACATGTACATGTGTATATATGAGATCGGGAATCAGCTTTCAAGTTCATTATACACATCTATAAATGTCCAATGTATATTTGAGTCATGTCTCTTTACCCAGATCGCAGATTTCAAGGAGAAACGTCCTTATTTACTAACTGAATGCAGGCCAGAAGTACTGCTAAGCTCATGTTTTTGCACGGAAGAATATCTGCTTGGCAAAATTTAAAAATGTACAAAAAACACTTAAAATTAAATGACGTATACTTGACAAAATTATAATGTAAATACCATAGTAAAGTCCCCCAAACAAAGTTTGGGGACTTATTGTTTTTACTCCGATTCATTGTTTTTACTCCGATTCTTCTTATTATTATTATTCTTTCTTTTTCTTCCGCTTTCCGCCGTAAATGTTTCCGACACTTTTCTTAGAAACTATTAGTCGGATCTTCACCAAGCTCGGATCTTCACCAAGCTTTGCGGGATTATTACTGATAGCCTCTAGATGTGCAAACACATTTTTGTTTATACAATTATGGAATTTTGTGCTGGTGAATATGATGTGGTATGAACCTGAAAAATGTGATATTAACAGAGGCGAAGCCGAGGTCAGTATCACTTTTTCAGGTTCATATTACATCATATTTACCAGCACAAAAGCCCATTACTGTTTTATTATATGCTTCAACAATCAAATAAAACAAAACAAAACTGAAGGTTCTGATTTTCGAACGCGAGCCTCCGTGTACAATTTAGCCAGGTTTGAATTCAACAGTTCAGCATTGTAGCTTTCGAAGGCATCGTCTATGTTCTTTTTCTTAAGATAAACATGGAGGACATGCACTGCGTGTTCAATGGCCCTTTTTATGTTAACAGCATCTTTATCCTCGAATAGTTTGGTAATTGTCTGATGTAACGGAGGAGAAACGTTCGTCAGCAGCCATCTTCTATTGTTGTCTGACAGATCGAGTTCCGGTCTAACTGCGTATGCGCTAAGGCAGGTTCCGGGGGATTTCCATATATGCTATATTTGGAAACCGATATTCACCGGATAACCAGTATACATGAGTTTTTGAGGACTGGTTACGTGTATAGGATCCGACCAATGTGATTGCGAGAAACTTTCATGCATATAATAATTTTCAATAACCATCCAATATGGCCGCAACAGCCTCTGATTGGCTAAAACATTTTGAGCCATAACTTTTGTTATATTTTGCGCATTAGAATATAATATTAAGGAAAGTATCGGTAAAGGACGTGCTCTAAAGTCGAATAAAAAAAATGACATTGTCAACAAAATGTCTGCCAAGAATTTTTGATTTTTTTTGGGAATATATAATTTCTTTTGGTGTTTGCTAAAGATAGCCAATGTCATCATCTATCCTATTTTACATGTTTTATAGATATTTTCCAATGCATTTCAAATTTGGCATGTAGGTGTATGATGGTACCGCGAACTCAACCATGACATCCGTTTTCTAATTAGACAAAATAGCTGCCATATACTGGTTACTGATTGGTCAAAACTCATTATTGCGCGATTTTGTTCAAATTTGGTATGTATGTGTAATATGGCATTGCAAACTCAACTGCGAACATTTGTTTTCTAATTTGACAAAAAGGCCGCCATATACTGACTTCTGATTGGTCGAAATTTTGATATTGTTCGATTTTTGTGAAAATTGGTTTACAGGGGTTTTAGGGGACTGCGAATGCAATTGCATAGGTTATGTTGCCATATCAACCACACGGAGGCTTCTGATTGGTCGAAATTTAAATAGTGTTCGATTTTGATGACAATCGATATATAGGTGTATTAAAGCACTGCAAATTCAATCGCAAACCTTCGTTATCATAGCAACCACACAGAGGATTATAATTGGTCGCAATTTAGAAATAGTTCGATTTCACTCAAAAGGCATTGCGATCATTATGGGGTAGAAATTGTTCGATTTTGATAAAAAAAAAAAAAAAAAAGGTATATAGGGGTATTAGGGGACTGCGAATTCAACCGCATAGGTTTCGTTGCCATAGTAACCTCATAGCAACCACACGGAGGCTTCTGATTGGTCGAAATTTAGATATTGTTTGATTTTTATGAAAATTGGAATATAGGGGTATAAGGGGACTGAAAATTAAACCGCATAGGTGTTGTTGCCATAGTAGCTATATAGCAACCACACGGAGGCTTCTGATAAGTCGAACATTATATATTGTTTGATTTTTGTGAAAATTGGTATATAGGGGTATTAGGGGACTGCAAATTAAACTGCATTGGTTTCGTTGCCATACAAACAACATGGATGCTTCAGATTGGTCGAAATTTAGATATTGTTTCACTCAAATTTAGTATGAAGGTGTTTTATGCCATTGTGATCCTTTTTTGATGCATCTTTGCGACTATTGGGGTAGTTTGGCGGACTTCTGTAATGGTCCCCCATTACAATCAGTACTTGTTAAACCTATTTTAATGTACAACGTACACCTGCAGTACAGGGCTTTGTATAGGATGTCAATACGCCATGTAATTAAAGGGGCCAGTTCGACAGCTTTTAGTTTGCATATTGATGAATACTGCGTCAGAAAGCAAATACTTTTCATCGATAATATTGCAATACAAATATTGTGTCATTTTTTAAGGCCAATGTGCAGTTAGCTATCTTTTTTATGTTGCAGTATGCATTTCTCTACGTCACGTCCCGGGCCCACGGGTATGAGATGGTCGTTCCAAGTACCAAGGAACTAGATATATTGAAAGAGGCGTTTGAAATCGATACTAGTTCATTTGAGGTACGTATTGAAATATAGTTAACGTAACACATTATCATCCTCAATTATACACGAAATAAAAGATCAGCTGCTTTTCCGAAATATCGTTAAACCAAGCTCATTTCGATTATCCAGACTAAAAACCAATAATCCGGATATTAATAAGTCCGAAGTAGTTATTCTTTTAACTCAAGGAAACTCATGGGGATGGCCTGTGGATGGTAAGAATGTTATTGGGATGGATTGTGAGGGTGAATGAAAAGGAAACAGAGGAAAGGGAAAGGGTAGGCGATTGATCGTAGGGGTGAGGGAAATGGTTTATCGTACGGGAGGAAAGGGTAGATGGTTGATCGTACGGGAAAGGGAAAGGATAGGCGATTGATTGTAGGGAGGAAGGGTAGATGGTTGATCGTACGGGAAAGGGAAAGGGTAGGCGATTGATCGTAGGGGTGAGGAAAATGGTAGGCAATGGATAGTAGGGGTGAGGGAAATTGTTGATCGTACGGGAGGAAAGGGTAGATGGTTGATCGTACGGGAAAGGGAAAGGGTAGGCGATTGATTGTAGGTAGTAAAGGGAAAATGGTGGATCGTACGGGAAAGGGAAAGGGTAGGCGATTGATTGTAGGGAGGAAATATGGATGGTTGATCGTACGGGAAAGGGAAAGGGTAGGCGATTGTTTGTAGGGAGGAAAGAGTAGATGGTTGATCGTAAGGGAAAGGGAAAGGGTAGGCGATTGATTGTAGGGAGGAAAGGGTAGATGGTTGATCGTACGGGAAAGGGACAGGGTAGGCGATTGATTGTAGGGAGGAAAGGGTAGATGATTGATCGTACGGGAAAGGGAAATGGTAGGCGATTGATTGTAGGGAGGAAATATGGATGGTTGATCGTACGGGGAAGGGAAAGGGTAGGCGATTGATTGTAGGGAGGAAATGGTAGATGGTTGATCGTGCGGGAAAGGGAAAGGGTAGGCGATTGATTGTAGGTAGTAAAGGGAAAATGGTGGATCGTACGGGAAAGGGAAAGGGTAGGCGATTGATTGTAGGGAGGAAATGGTAGATGGTTGATCGTGCGGGAAAGGGAAATGGTAGGCGATTGATTGTAGGGAGGAAAGGGTAGATGGTTGATCGTACGGGAAAGGAAAAGGGTAGGCGATTGATTGTAGGGAGGAAAGGGTAGATGGGTGATCGTACGGGAAAGGGAAAGGGTAGGCGATTGATCGTAGGGGTGAGGGAAATGGTAGGCAATGGATCGTATAGGGGTGAGGGAAATGGTTGATCGTACGGGAGGAAAGGGTAGATGGTTGATCGTACGGGAAAGGGAAAGGGTAGGCGATTGATTGTAGGGAGGAAAGGGTAGATGGTTGATCGTACGGGAAAGGGAAAGGGTAGGCGATTGATTGTAGGGAGGAAAGGGTAAATGGTTGATCGTACGGGAAAGGGAAAGGGTAGGCGATTGATTGTAGGGAGGAAAGGGTAGATGGTTGATCGTACTCAAACTATGTTATATATACATGACCCCTTGTTACACAAGTTTATGTGTGTCTGAGTGAAATAAAAATCTTGAAATCTTAATAACTGAAGGATTAAACATATATACAACACCCTGTATAATCACAGTGTGAAATACTAGATCTTGTACAGTTTTACCTGTAAAACTCACCGTATCACATCATTTAGGTTCAACAGGTATAATCAACATTTGAAACATATATACCCTTTGACTCCAATCTCTAGAAATAAAATTTTCCTAAGGGCGATGAGTCATTTTAATATATACCGGGTACATTATTTGAATATGACTATAGTGATATAAATAGACCTTTATTATATACTCTCCATGTGGCTATTCTATCAGGAGCGAACCAACATAATATCAGATATTTTGTTGTTTCTTTTACACAGAAAACCGACTGGGAAAAAGATCTAACAGCGAGGTGTTTTGACGTTATTGAAGATGAATGGGATTGTGCTTACGATCCCAAGTTAGTGGAGAAGTCAAGAAAGAATGTCCATTATAAAGGCTATTTCCAGTCCTGGAAATACCTGGTTACATATGAAGACGACCTTCGCCAAATATTCAGGTTTCGTCCAAGTATTCTTAACGATGCAGCTTCTGTTTTACAAAAAACAATAGCTAGCAGATTAAATAGTTTAAACAGCACGGACGTTCGTCCGGTTTTGGTAGGGATCCATGTACGAAGGGGTGACTATTTAGATGAAAAAGAATTTGTTGATTTCGGTTATAACATTGCAGATTATGGTTACATTGAAAAAGCAATGGCTTACTTCCGGCGGAAATACTCAAACGTTCTATTTATAGCGTGCAGTAACGATGTGAAATGGGTTAAAGCAGGTTTCGGAACGACAGCGGATGTATTCATTGTGGAAGGCAATTCGGCCGCCACGGACATGGCGATTCTCTCACTAACTAACCACACCATAATGACGGTGGGGACGTTTGGTTGGTGGATCAGTTTTCTCACCAATGGACATACAGTATACTATAAATATCCATTCCGTCCCGGATCTTTACTCGGCGAGCAGTTCAAAGGTAACATCGACACACACATATATCCTAACTGGGTCGGATTAGAGGGCGACAATAGTAATCTCATGAATATATTCACAGTAAGATCTCCTTAATAAGGCTTATCAAATACTCAACTTAGAATATGTATGGGTTACTTTTCAGAAATTATGTATAAGAGTTATTATCGTGCCATGAAAAAGAGTTTCCAATTCGTTGTTACAGTGTTCGGCAGAGGTATTTCTCTAACGTTATAAATGACAGAAAATTAGAGTTTTCACGAATCGTGAATGATATTGTATATCAGAGTCTAAAGTGGAAACGTTTCACAATATGCAGGGTCCTTTGACATTGTTTGTTGTAACAGGAATCCGGATTAGGTAGGGTTTCAACGTATACATCATTCAGAGTGATAAACCAATATATATATAGGGTCAAGCTTAGTAAGGTTTCTATATACAAAGCGTCTTGATGGACACGGTTTGACTTGATACTGAGCCCGGATTGTCAAGGATCAAGGTTCATCTATATAAATAGTCCGGGTTGTTACAGATTCACTGTATACAGGATCTGGATTGTCTAGGTTCCACTGTAGTCCGGATTGCTAAGATTCAACAGAATACTGAGTCCGGATTGCCAAGGTTCCATCGTTTACTGAGCTCGGATTGTTGAAGTTCCACTGTGGTCCGGATTGTTATTGAGGTTCCACTGTAGTCCGTATTGGTAAGGTTCCACTGTAGTCTGGATTGTCAAGGTTCCACGGTAGTCCGGGTTGTCAAGATTCCGCAGTAGTCCGGATTGTCAATTTCCCCCTGAATACAGAGTCCGAATTATCAGAGTAAAACTCTATGAAGAGTCTGAATTATTAAGGTTTAGATGTAGTCCGAACTGTCAAGGTTCCGTTGTAGTCCGGATTGTCAAATTCCACTGTAGTCCGAATTGTCAAGGCTCCACTGTAGTCCGGATGGTTAAGGTTCCGTTGTAGTCTGAATTGTCAAGGTTCCACTGTAGTCCGGATGTTCAAAGCTCGATTGTATTCCGGATTGTTAAGGTTCCACTGCAGTCCGGATTGTTAATGTTCCACTGCAGTCCGGATAGTTAACGTTCCACTGTATACTGAGTCCGGATTGGCAAGGTTCCGTTGTAGTCCGGATTGTCAAGGTTCCACTGCAGTCCGGATGTTCAAAGTTCGATTGTATTCCGGATTGTCAAGGTTCCACTGTAGTCTAGATTTTCAAGGTTCGATTGTAGTCCGGATTGTCAAGGTTCCACTGTAGTCCGGATTGTTAACGTTCCTCTGCAGTCCGGATTGTTATGGTTCCACTGTCGTCCGGTTTGTTAACGTTCCACTGTATACTGAGACCGGATAGTTAGGGTTCTAATCTGTAAAGAGTTCGGATTGTTTATGTTAATCTCGATCCATTACACGATATTACGCATTACTACTGTAGGAATTCGCAATGAGGAAATAGTGATATAAAAAAATTACTAGTCAAGGTTCCACTGTAGTCCGAATTTTCAAGGCACCACTGTAGTCCGGATTGTCAAGGTTCCGTTGTAGTCCGAATTATCAAGGTTCAGTTGTAGTCTGGATTGTCATGGTTCCACTGTAGTCCGGATGTTCAAGGTTCGATTGTATTCCGGATTGTCAAGGTTCCACTGTAGTCCGGATTGTTAACGTTCCTCTGCAGTCCGGATTGTTAACGTTCCGCTGTAGTCCGGATTGTCAATTTCCCCCTAAATACGGAGTCCGATCTATCAGAGTAAAACTCTATGAAGAGTCTGGATTGTTAAGGTTTAGATGTAGTCCGAATTGTCAAGGTTCCGTTGTAGTCCGGATTGTCAAGGTTCAACTGTAGTCCGAATTGTCAAGGCTCCACTGTAGTCCGGATGGTTAAGGTTCAACTGCAGTCCGGATTGTCAAGGTTCCGTTGTAGTCTGAATTGTCAAGGTTCCACTGTAGTCCGGATTGTTAACGTTCCTCTGCCATTACACGATATTACGCATTACTACTGTAGGAATTCGCAATGAGGAAATAGTGTTATAACTACTAGTACATGAAGAAAACGGTCTGAAATCCGAAAATAGGTCTGTATAATATGTAAATGTGTTTATTAGATCTGTATAATGTGTAAATGTGTGTATCACAATGAGGAAATAGTGATATAAAAACTGCTAGTCAAGGTTCCATGGTCGTCAGGATTGTCAAGGTTCAACTGTAGTCCGGATGGTTAACGTTCCACTGCAGACCGGATTATTAACGTTCCTCTGCCATTACACGATATTACGCATTACTACTGTAGGAATTCGCAATGAGGAAATAGTGTTATAACTACTAGTACATGAAGAAAACGGTCTGAAATCCGAAAATAGGTCTGTATAATATGTAAATGTGTTTATTAGATCTATATGTAAATGTGTGTCAGATTTATATAATGTGTAAATGTGTGTATTAGATCTGTATAATGTGTAAATGTGTTTTTCTGATCTGTATAATGTGTATATGTGTTGATCAGATCTGTATAATGTGTAAATGTGTTTTTCTGATCTGTATAATGTGTATATGTGTTGATCAGATCTGTATAATGTGTAAATGTGTGTATCACAATGAGGAAATAGTGTTATAACTACTAGTACATGAAGAAAACGGTCTGAAATCCGAAAATAGGTCTGTATAATATGTAAATGTGTTTATTAGATCTGTATAATATGTAAATGTGTGTTTCAGATCTGTAAAATGTGTAAATGTGTTTTTCTGATCTGTATAATGTGTATATGTGTTGATCAGATCTGTATAATGTGTAAATGTGTGTATTAGATCTGTATAATGTGTAAATGTGTTTTTCTGATCTGTATAATGTGTAAATGTGTGTGTCAGATTTATATAATGTGTAAATGTGTTTTTCTGATCTGTATAATGTGTAAATGTGTGTATTAGATCTGTATAATATGTAAATGTGTTTATTAGATCTATATGTAAATGTGTGTTTCAGATCTGTAAAATGTGTAAATGTGTTTTTCAGATCTGTATAATGATATAAAAACTACGATTGTAGTCCGGAGTGTTAACGTTCCACTCTAGTCTGGATTGTCATGGTTCCACTGTAGTCCAGATTGTCAAGGTTCCACGGTAGTCCGGATTGTTAAGGTTCATTTCGATCCATTACACGATATTACGCATTACTACTGTAGGAATTCGCAATGAGGAAATAGTGTTATAACTACTAGTACATGAAGAAAACGGTCTGAAATCCGAAAATAGGTCTGTATAATATGTAAATGTGTTTATTAGATCTATATAATATGTAAATGTGTTTATTAGATCTATATAATATGAAAATGTGTGTTTCAGATCTGTAAAATGTGTAAATGTGTGTGTCAGATTTATATAATGTGTAAATGTGTGTATCACAATGAGGAAATAGTGTTATAACTACTAGTACATGAAGAAAACGGTCTGAAATCCGAAAATAGGTCTGTATAATATGTAAATGTGTTTATTAGATCTATATAATATGTAAATGTGTTTATTAGATCTATATGTAAATGTGTGTTTCAGATCTGTAAAATGTGTAAATGTGTGTATCAGAGTTCGATTGTATTCCGGTTTGTCAAGGTTCCACGGTAGTCCGGGTTGTCAAGGTTCCACGGTAGTCCGGATTGTTCACGTTCCACTGCAGTCCGTATTGTTAACGTTCCGCTGTATACTGAGACCGGATAGTCAGGGGTCTAATCTGTAAAGGGGCCGGATTGTTTTTGTTCATCTCGATCCATTACACGAAATTACACATTACAACTTCCACTGCAGTCCGGTTTGTTAACGTTCGACTGTATACTGAGACCGGATAGTTAGGGTTCTAATCTGTAAAGAGTTCGGATTGTTACGGTTCCACCGGACAGTCATGTAGTCCGTATTGTTAACGTTCCACTCTAGTCTGGATTGTCAAAGTTCGATTGTATTCCGGATTGTCACGGTTCCAATGTAGTCCGGATTGTTAACGTTCCACTGCAGTCCGGATTGTTAACGTTCCACTGCAGTCCGGATTGTTAACGTTCCACTGTAGTCCGGATTGTTAACGTTCCACTGTAGTCCGGGTTGTTAACGTTCCACTGAAGTCCGGATTGTTAACGTTCCACTGCAGTCCGGATTGTTAACGTTCCACTGCAGTCCGGATTGTTAACGTTCCACTGTAGCCCGGGTTGTTAACGTTCCACTGTATACTGAGTCCGGATAGTCAGGGTTCTAATCTGTAAAGAGTTCGGATTGTTAAGGTTCCACCGGACAGTCAGGGTTCTAATCTGTAAAAAGTTCGGATTGTTAAGGTTCATTTCGATCCATTACACGAAATTACACATTACAACTGTAGGAAATCGCAATGAGGAAATAGTGTTATAACTACTAGTACATGAAGAAAACGGTCTGAAATCCGAAAATAGGTCTGTATAATATGTAAATATGTTTATCAGATCTGTATAATATGTAAATGTATTTATTAGATCTGTATAATATGTAAATGTGTGTTTCAGATCTGTAAAATGTGTAAATGTGTGTGTCAGATTTATATAATGTGTATCTGTATTTATCAGATCTCTATAATGTGTAAATGTGTTTATCAGATCTGTATAATGTGTAAATGTATTTATCAGATCTGTATAATATGTAAATGTGTTTATTAGATCTATATGTAAATGTGTGTTTCAGATCTGTAAAATGTGTAAATGTGTGTGTCAGATTTATATAATGTGTAAATGTGTGTATCAGATCTGTATATTGTGTAAATGTGTGTATTAGATCTGTATAATATGTAAATGAGTTTATCAGATTTATATAATGTGTAAATGTATTTATCAGATCTGTATGATATGTAAATGTGTTTATTAGATCTATATAATATGTAAATGTGTGTTTCAGATCTGTATAATATGTAAATGTGTGTCAGATTTATATAATGTGTAAATGTATTTATCAGATCTGTATAATATGTAAATGTGTGTCAGATTTATATAATATGTAAATGTGTTTATCAGATCTGTATAATATGTTAATGTGTTTATCAGATTTATATAATGTGTAAATGTATTTATCAGATCTGTATAATATGTAAATGTATTTATCAGATCTGTATAATATGTAAATGTGTTTATTAGATCTGTATAATATGTAAATGTATTTATCAGATCTGTATAATGTGTAAATGTGTTTTTCAGATCTGTATAATGTGTATATGTGTTGATCAGATCTGTATAATATGTAAATGTGTTTATCAGATCTGTATAATATGTAAATGTGTTTCACAGATTTATATAATGTGTAAATGTGTTTATCAGATCTGTATAATATGTAAATGTGTTTATCAGATCTGAATAATATGTAAATGTATTTATTAGATCTGTATAATATGTAAATGTGTGTTTCAGATCTTTAAAATGTGTAAATGTGTGTGTCAGATTTATATAATGTGTAAATGTATTTATCAGATCTGTATAATGTGTAAATGTGTGTATTAGATCTGTATAATGTGTAAATGTGTGTTTTAGATCAGTATAAAGTGTAAATGTGTTGATCAGATCTGTATAAAGTGTAAATGTGTTTATCAGATTTGTATAAAGAGTTTATATGTTGATATGTTTATCAGATTTAAATATGTGCAAATGTTTCGATATTTTGTCTGTAAATTTACTGTTTTTTGAGCTTTTTTTTCAACCGAGGTCTTTTGTTTTTTTCGGTTCCTGAGGACAGACTATCAGGTCCTTTTAGACTTACGATGTAGTACATGTCTGGCTAACATCGCGTACACAACTGTTCTAATGCTTCCGCGTTTCTACAGGATGTATATGAACAGTTGGATCGCCAACACCAATCAATACTGACATTAAAAAACAAATGACCAAACTGTCCGGCAATATTTTGTCACAAGTTGATCCCCATCTCTGTATAAATGGGTTCTGATTGTTTTGTTTCGTGTTATGTAACAGAAACCTTTGTACAAGTGTGTACAATAAGTAAAAAGATGATATTTTATAACCGTCATTTATTCTTTTAAATAAATGACATTTTTCACTTTCAATCTTTGGTTTTCTGTTATTTTTAATCTTAATACAAACAGAGCACATCCTTTTATGTTTTGATGCAGAGCTAAACATAGTAACTGGTACTGGGGAACTATATAGCTAGTAGACAGTGCTGGCGTAACAACTAAATCCCAAATCGCGGATGAATGTCTACAAGGTACGAGTGAATGGTCATATATTTTAGGATTTTAAGAAATTTTAATAACAAAAAGTGAGGTTGATTAACACTTATTTAAACACACCTCTGCCACATACTATAAGCTAGGAGCTGAGAAACGGGTAACTGTGGTATAGGATGCCTCAATGGAATTAACCTTCATATAAGAAACATCTACTGAGAGTATATAAATGTGAAAATATCAGTTACCGCCGATAGTTTCAAGATTTTCACGCAAAAATGATTTTTTTTCACAACATTTCTCCTCATGCTTTGAACAATGGTATTTTTACATAGTTATACGATGCACATCACCATACGTCAACTTTAAAAGCGCGTGTCTGGATTAAATCAATCGCATAACGAGGAAGTATACTATTGTGTTTCCCTCCCACGCTCAAACTTTCCTGATCATTTTTCCTTTGTTCGGAACCTCTCTAGACAAATGAGAAAAAAAGTCTTTTCGTGAGTTCCGATTGACCTAAGCAGAAATCAACAACAACCGAGACTAGTAAATGTTTATTGTAAATTTAGAATTTGTAATGTTCAATTTCCGATTGAATGTGGTAGATGGAATAACATCCCAAGAGAAGATAGAAAATGTATTCTTTGTGACCTGAATGAAATTGGAGACGAATATCATTATTTGTTTAATTGTAATGATCATCAAATACTGCAGAATATAAAAAAAAATATGTCGAGATATTATTTTGAAAGATTTGGTTTGGTTTGTTTGTGTTTTACGTGCTACATGTGTAGCATGTACACCGGAGAGAAACCACCGACCTACGACCAGTTCCTACCCCAAGAGAGTCTCGAACCCGCTACCCAGCATATACGTGTGTAAAACTTGTGCCCAACTCCCATTGTATATAAATTACAATAAAATATGTTTAAATCAAGCGGTGAAGGGCTAGTGGGCTGAATGTCAGTCGGCTTAACCACTTGGCCACCGCGGCCCCATTTCGAAAAACCTAGTAGTAGTACTTTCAAGTTCAATACATTTTTTAATCATGTCAATAATGGAGAATTCATTTTACTTTTTAAATTCCTTAAGCACATAATTGAGCGAATTAACACTGTCCATTACCACCTTGATGTTTATGTAAATTGTTCTATATACATGTATGTATATGTAAATTCTCTACACTGTAACCAGTTCGCGAGAATCAAACTTGTCATTGTCATTGCTGGGCGGAATCCTGATCATCTTTACTTTGTGTATTGTTCTATTTCGGTAGGGTAGCACGATTCTTTGTTTCCCTAATCATGTTTCACGGTAGTCGTGTTTCTTTTCCACAAGGGCAGTGGATCTATATAGTAGCTGATAATTTAATAAAACACTCAGTATATCATGTGAAAACCAGACTTTAGTTTTACCAGCGTTTTTATTCGATAGGCTTACATAATTATAATATGCATACATTATCAGAGGGATTGGTATACAAGCTTTTCGCTAAATATAAATTCCTTTCCCAAAAAAGTTTAATTTTCTATGGCTCATTTAGTCACGTGATTAAGTACTATTAATTAATCTACAAAACACTGAATAACTACAATGCTCTGAATAGTCATCCTCAGAGAAAAGTTTTTGCTTTTGAACATAAAAACGTTGTTGTTTTTTTAAATTGTATTCACACAAACGCCATAGCTTTGAAGTAGAATTTGAGCGTGTCAACATCCTTGATATGTCCTTCATTTCCTGGTTCACAAAACTCGCCTTTGCGCATAAATCGTTTCATAACTTCAGGAATCGGAAGCTCGTCCAACTTGACATTGGTATTTCTATGCAACGCCTTGAAAACAGCGAGTATTGCGGAGTGAAATAATAACAGAGGATGCCTAGCCCGGAATTGAAGGAACGAATGCATTTCCGGGTTTACTGTGAGCGTTTTTGGAGCGTTTCCGGTGTAACCTTGCATGAGGTACGGTAGTCGACTGACGTTGTATCCGGCCGACAATAGCGCCACCACCACATCCCAAAATCCCTTTTCAATCGCTAGTTCCATCGGGTCCAGCACGAGCTCATCGTATTTGTTGAAAGCGACCCGCCCCTTCATGTCGAGCCGACAGCTCCACTGCAGTAAAGCTCGTATACATGGCATGTCATGCTTCATTACAGACACAAGTAAGGCCGTTGTGCCACTCCGAACTACAAAGAAAGCAACACGGAATTAAAAAAAGGAACAGTATTAAAATGTAAGTCGCATATTAATTGCAGAAGATGAAAATGACAGGATACAATTTTACTTGTTTACAGGAGTGTGATAATGTTAGGTTTTGTGTCCCCTAAAAAATCTGTAAATCTTCCAATGTCACCGACGTTTATAAGTTTTTAAAAACAAAATGGGACTGGCAAACGTGAAACAAAAGGAAATATAGAACGAAACTAAACATCAAATTAATAACGTCTAACGCCATACCCACATAATCAATGGTAAATGATGAATGGTTTACAGTAATACTTAGTTGGTAGGGTTTAGTACGAACATGTGATATCCGGGTCGGCTCCATTGTCGAGAACGAGTCGTACAAGCTGTGAGGCACGGACGAACGCGGCGTTGACCAGAGGGTTGCTGTATTCACACATGTTGTTGTTTAGATCCGTTCCCGCCTGTATCAGCTGAATGGCGGCGGCCAAAACGTCATCACTTACATCCGGTTGCCGGTCTGAGATCCGCGCATGCCGGCAGATTAGATTGGTCAATGGACTCCTTCCGGTCACGTCTAGCAAGTTTGGATTAGAGCCTGCACATAATAGGATTTCGAACAGCTCGAAATTCCCGTTAATTACTGCATTCTGTAAAACAACAACAACAATAATGAACGAAGTGAACAGTTGACTTACAACTAAAACCGTATTTTTTCTATAGAACTTTGATAGGCTTGGATTCTCTGTGCTGGTTTCTATAGAACTTTGATAGGCTGGAACTCTCCGTGCTGGTTTCTATAGAACTTCGATAGGCTTGGACTCTCCGTGCTGGTTTATATGGAACTTTGATAGGCTTGGACTCTCCGTGCTGGTTTATATGGAACTTTGATAGGCTGGGACTCTCCGTGCTGGTTTCTATAGAACTTTGATAGGCTGGGACTCTCCGTGCTGGTTTCTATAGAACTTCGATAGGCTGGGACTCTCCGTGCTGGTTTATATGGAACTTTGATAGGCTGGGACTCTCCGTGCTGGTTTCTATAGAAGTTTGATAGGCTGGGACTCTCCGTGCTGGTTTCTATAGAACTTCGATAGGCTGGGACTCTCCGTGCTGGTTTATATAGAAGTTTGATAGGCTGGGACTCTCCGTGCTGGTTTCTATAGAAGTTTGATAGGCTGGGACTCTCCGTGCTGGTTTCTATAGAACTTCGATAGGCTGGGACTCTCCGTGCTGGTTTATATGGAACTTTGATAGGCTGGGACTCTCCGTGCTGGTTTATATGGAACTTTGATAGGCTGGGACTCTACGTGCTGGTTTCTTTAGAAGTTTACTAGGCTGGGACTCTCCGTGCTGGTTTCTATAGAAGTTTGATAGGCTGGGACTCTCCGTGCTGGTTTATATGGAACTTTGATAGGCTGGGACTCTACGTGCTGGTTTCTTTAGAAGTTTACTAGGCTGGGACTCTCCGTGCTGGTTTCTATAGAAGTTTGATAGGCTGGGACTCTCCGTGCTGGTTTATATGGAACTTTGATAGGCTGGGACTCTACGTGCTGGTTTCTTTAGAAGTTTACTAGGCTGGGACTCTCCGTGCTGGTTTCTATAGAAGTTTGATAGGCTGGGACTCTCCGTGCTGGTTTATATGGAACTTTGATAGGCTGGGACTCTACGTGCTGGTTTCTTTAGAAGTTTACTAGGCTGGGACTCTCCGTGCTGGTTTCTATAGAAGTTTGATAGGCTGGGACTCTCCGTGCTGTTTTTTTTATGCGGACAACACTCCAATAAGGATACAATTATAATCAGATTGCACTACTAGGTATTTAGCAAATTATTTGGTCAGCGATACCAACAAAACATTTCATTCACAACATTTTGATTTCTTTTAGTAAATCATCATCCTATGAAAATGAAAAGAAAAAAAAACATTCATTAAGCCATAACTGACAAGCGTTTCAGGGACCATGTGCCATACTCACGTGCAAGGCTGTTCGTTTACACTTGTAATCCCGCATAGAAACATCCGCACCAGCCTCGATGAGCATTCGCCCTAACGTCACTTTGTTCTCAATGTTAGAATTCATGCACAGCACCATAAGTGGCGTGATTCCATTGTCTGTAATCGAATTCACATTTGCGGAGTTCTTTAACAAAAACTCGACGAATTCCGGCTGTCCTGTTTCTACGGCCATGTGAAGAGCAGACCTACCTTCAATATCCTGACAATGCATAATGTCTGCGTCACGTGATAATAACATTTTTGCCATTCCCATGTCCTGTCGCATCATGCAGTACATCAGTGGCGTCATGCCCCATTCGTCTGTTACCCCGATAGCAGCACCATAGTCCAGCAGGATTCTGGCACATTCTATGTGTCCCTTGTCGCAACAAATATGGAGGAGAGCCCTCGACTTGTCCTCGAAAGGTTTCAATCCCGCGTCTGCTCCATTGTCAAGGAGGCCACGTAATACTGTTCTTTCGTCTGCCTCGATTGCGCGGTAAAGTTCAATAGCGTAATCGTATTCCTCTTCTTCCTCCTCTTCCTCGTCGTCGCTTTCCTCCTCTTCCTCCTCCTCCTCCTCCTTCTGGTCGTCGGGATTCTCATCGTATCCGCCGTAGGAGTTATACATTTCGACAGAGTGCTCGGGTTGTCTATAAATAAAAGGAATAAGTACGTCATTCAGGTAATGACTGGTAATTCAGTAAAAGCGAATTAATATCAATATGTTCTGTACACAGAGTTTAATTACAACATTAATAAAGTTTAAGGACATGTACATTTTTTATATGTAATTAAATACTAGTAATCGATACTGTTTCATGTCAGAATTTGTTTTGCACATTTTCCTAATATTAAAGGAGACCCGCTCTTATTTTGATAATCTTCTTTGGGTCATTATATACCGGTGTTACGTTGAAAACTGACCCGGTCCGTGTTCCAAGGGGGTCCATTTTCAACGTTACACCGGCAGAATGTTTGAACACCATGTATTAGTCCGAATTATTCTGACGTTTTATCGACTTTTTTCATATCGGTCTGTCGTCAATTAACGTCACTAAAAACATATTTTTTCAAACTTACTCTATTTTACTCTAGTTTTTTGATAGCCCCGCCTTCTAATGCCACGTGACTAAAATCTCGCCAGCCTACGTCATAACGTTGGGAAATACCTTCGGAAACGCGAGATCTCGTCAAGTCATGTGACATTGTTCATGGCCTTATTTCCATTAAAAACATGGGTTGGTATAGAAAACGTTGGAAAATACTTATCGTAATGATCTTTGAAACATGTTATTGATACCCCCTAGTGCATAAAGAATAGATCATTCGATCCATGTGCGACATGTGTGTGAAAGTGACGATTTGTTTCTAAAATATCAGTTTGAAGTCCGACCCGGCTGTGGGTTGCATATTTCCCGCATATTATAGAGGGCCGGAGTTCTGACGTGAATCGACGACAGACCGATATGAAAAAAGTCGATAAAACGTCAGAATAATTCGGACTAACCATGTATAAGGTGACGTGGTAGTCTTTTAATGTTGCTGTTGTTAGAATCGAAACAGAGGTATTGGTCTGGGCGAATTTGTAAGAATTATAACACCATGGAAGACAAGGTACCTGCAATATATGTTCATTACTTACAACTCTAAAATTCACAGTGATAAAACCTGCATGTACTGCATTATTTAGTGACATGATTTTTTTCCCCCAAAAATATCATTGATCATCTAGTGAACTGAAACTTTTGCACGATATGGGTTTCTTCATTATTAGGTCTCAAATGAAGTGAGGAAAGTGTGCTTATATTATCACGTGCTTAAGTATGTCATTATGCATTTATACAGTTTCTGTTTGTGTTACAGTTCTGCGTACGTCTGGTCGTCTACGACCCCTAGCCCTTCACCACTGGGTCGCGGGTTCGAGGCCTACGTAGCTATAGGACGGTCTCCAGGTACTGGCCGCAGGTTGGTGGCCTTTCTCGGGCACACTGGCTTTCCTTCACCACCAAACCCTGGCTCGTCCTTAAATAGCTATGGCTGTTAATAGGACGTTAAGCACCAACAGATCAAACCAATCATTTGCAGTTCGATCCATCCAAAATATCTTCTTTTTCGATTAAAATTCATTAAACAAGTTTAATTGTATTTTGAAACACCTCTAGACTTTATCAAGAAGAAAAATATACAGTGTTTGATAAAAAAATAAATGCAGAGAAGCATATATTGCATATAACGGTGTTTTTTAAAAATAGAATAGCTCGATTCCAAAACGAGGCTGTTAGCAATAGATGACCAATAAATATGCAAACCAGGGATACATATAAACGTACTTATTAAATCAAGAAAAACTGTCTAATGATGAGTTACATGGGATTTCGAAGTACGGGATTCAAATTAAAGTTAAGTTTAACATGAAATTACTGTAGATGTGAACTTTCACTCCAAAATCGAATTTGTGCGTTTCTCCTTAATAATTTTCAAGTTTCATCTCGAACGCACATAAATATGCAATTTTCGAATAACCTATATAACTCAGCATCTTCGAAATCCAACATTTCTGCTCTTCGTGTCTCGAGACATATTTGATACATTTGTGTAAGGAGTGCTTAGGATTAGTGTCAATATGTGATGTATTATCGTTACCACCGTTATACACTGTATACGTTTGATCTACGACTGATACATATATAACCCAAAGATTCACTCCTTTATCAAACATATATACTTTTGATGAATATGGTATTGATAAATAAAATAGTGTCGACCTATTTTATGTAAAATCGATATTGAGTAATCTAACCGGACCTAAGAGGGGGTCTAAAAGTTCTCTGACAAAATAGACCTCGCATACGGGCCTAAAGCCTTCTGAGATTCTCCCTCTTTAACCAAATCGTCTGCCACCATTAAGTAAACGTGTAGAACGACGCATATTCTGTGTTAGCTGTGTTGTTCTAGGATAACCCAGTTAAACCTTGTCCGTTTCATGGTCCTAGTATGATATAGGAAGTAGTAACACACATGCTACAGTAAGCATACCTAGTCATGTTCATAATAATGGAACTACTCACCACAAAGTAACTCACATCTGCAGCAAAAATGTCGATGCCGAAATATATGAAAGGGTGTCTACAGAACGAATAATTGGATACAAGCTGAGGAGTTCCGAGCGCACGAAACGGGGAGTTATGTAAACACGTACATGTACTCTTCTACACGTGTGTACATGCGGTACACTATACCAATATACGAGTCGCACATAACTCAGCACTGCGAAACGGCCCTGTAGGTTAAGCTCTTGTGATTGTGCGGACAGCTAGCCATATCGAACACCACCAATATTTTACTCCGGAATGACAGATAGCCGGATTCCACAGGTTCAGTTCATATACCATCACTGTACACAAATCAGGGCAGTACCCAAATCGGGACACTTGAAGGGAAATGTCACAAGAAATTTGCATGCTGTGCTAAGAAGTACAGTATTTTCAAATTGAAAGATGTTTATATACCAATAAAACATTATATGAACTTTATTTACTGCCACTTATGGTTATAATCACAGTTTTTTGTTTGTAAATAATGACGGAAATTTGACGTTCTAAATTGAAGCGCCATGCGGCCATATTGGTTTTCAATTTTTGTATGTGATTTTTCACAATCCTTCTATTTCACAACTAATGGTAGTTTAGAAAAGAAATTCATTCAGAACGACCATTGACTCTCAAATATTCCAAAGATATGCCATGTTATGCTAAATCCTTTTTTCTTCCCCAAATATAAGGCAAAACAGGTAGGGATGCCCCGATTTGAGTACAGCTACACATTTTTCGCGATTACGTAACCATGACTATATTTCCGGGTTTATTTATAGAACCATGCGCCGGGAATATCGTCTTGTTATCAAAATGAAAAGATAATGATATCGATTTAGGAAAAGTGAACAAAAATTACTGGGATCGGTACTATGATATGAAATACACCAATATTTCACTAAAAAGTGTCCCGATTTAATTACTGTAACGTTGTACATATAGTAATTAGTTCATTTGTAAGCTGTAAAATGCAGGTTTTCGCTACGATAGAATGATGTGGCATTGGACACTGTCCTCTGGTTCCTATATATTTAGTTTTTGGAACGAGGCACTTTTCAGTACAAGCTTTACATAAATAAAACAATTTCAACCCGAAAACATGTGTTACGGATAAATAGAACTATTTTAAACTGTTTTTTAAGGTAAAATATTAAAAACCTTATCAAAAATAATTCAAGAGTTGAATATAAGGTAAAACAATGTTTTTTTTATTTACCAATGATAAACATTGACGACCTTCCATACAATTCTCACTAACATCATTAATAAATGTTAACGACCTACCATACAATTCTCACTGACATCATCAATAAATGTTAACGACCTACCATACAATTCTCACTAACATCATCAATAAATGTTAACGACCTTCCATGCAATTCTCACTAACATCATTCATAAATGTTAACGACCTACCATACAATTCTCACTAACATCAATAATAAATGTTAACGACCTACCATACAATTCTCACTAACATCATTAATAAATGTTAACGACCTTCCATACAATTCTCACTAACATCATCAATAAATGTTAACGACCTTCCATACAATTCTCACTAACATCATTCATAAATGTTAACGACCTTCCATACAATTCTCACTAACATCATCAATAAATGTTAACGACCTTCCATACAATTTTCACAAACATCATTAATAAATGTTTACGACCTACCATGCAATTCTCACTGACATCAATAATAAATGTTAACGACCTTCCATACAATTCTCACAAACATCATTAATAAATGTTTACGACCTACCATGCAATTCTCACTGACATCAATAATAAATGTTAACGATCTTCCATACATTTCTCACAAACATCATCAATAAATGTTAACGACCTTCCATACAATTCTCACAAACATCGATAATACATGTTGACGACCTTTCATACAATCCTCACAAACATCGATAATAAATGTTAACAACCTTCCGTAACATTCTCACAAACATCGGCTAATGCATATTTTATTTGTATCAAAATATATACATTGGAATTGGACACATTTTTTTTTTAAATTATATAAAGCCCTTTCCCAGTTATCACTAACATAAATGATAAACGTTTACGAAATGTCTTGAAATAACCACTGTTACATACATTGTACGTGAAGTCTCATAAATTATCCACTACAAATATTGCTGGTATACGCTCAGGAGTTTTCCTCGGCCGGTGTTCCTCCTCTGACGTGCCGTGAGCGACGTCTCGTAGACATAACGACAGTAGTTCCCGAGGTAAAACCAGTCACATTCAAAGGGATCGCTGTACGTTTGTACGGGAATCCGAGGGAACACGTGCTCATTCTTAATGTACATTATATATAGCAGGTTTTGGTCTGTACCCATCAGACGCCGAGCGATGAGTGATTCAACTAATAGCCTGTAGTCTTCGATGAATACCATGAGATACTCTGGCCTGCCTATAAACATTCCCCCTGCGACCCACACAGCATCCTCCCGTATAACCGTTAAAGCAGTGTGCGGTTTAAATGCATTAATTTGTCCAAAAGCTATGTGATCGTCTCGAAAATCGGGGGGGATTTGGAGCTTGAAATGTTTCTCATATCTGAACCGGAAGTAACCGATGTCTATCCATGCTAAGTACTTGGTCCGGAACATTCGTTCCCGTATCACCGTTTCCATTAACTCGTATTTGGCATGCATGGCACAGCTGTATTGTTCTATTATTGTGTTTGGGGAGTGTTTTGGGTAGCCAGGTTGAGCGAATATTGACTTGATTTCAGGGGCAAGATTAAACGCCCACATGTCACCTTTGTTAATAAAATATATCTTAGTTTTGTGAGACGGAAGATGCATTCTCGCCCTCTGCAGCATACCTTTTACTTTGTGTGAATCTGTAAAAGCAATCAAATCATTGTCAAATTTGGAGAACCCTTCTAACCAGGCCAGATAATGTTCTATTCCTCTCGAGACCTCGCCCTTTTTGAACGTTTCAATATAGAAGTAGGCTGTTACGAAAGTTATATCATTTTCCATGGAGTCGGAGTTGATCATGAAGGACTTCGGTACCGGAGTACGTGGACTGTACATCTGAATATAAAAAAAGTCAACGACAGGTTTATCATTCAGATTAAAGATTTATTTGCCATATTACAAACGCGTACATTTTTTGGAAAGGTTGATTTAACGAGACATGATCACAACAAACTTATCTCCGAATAGGAACAAACGGAAACTATTATTTAACACTCGTTTAACTCTCCTTAAAATTCGTGTAACTTTTCTCAAAATATTCACTAGAAACACAAAATACACCAGATTGCAATACTGTAATACATCACATAGTAATACTACATGTACATCACATAGCCATACTACAACACATAGCCATACTACAACACATAGCCATACTACATCACATAGCCATACTACATCATATAGCTTTACTATATCACATAACCATACTACACCACATATCTGTACTACAACACATAGCCATACTACATCAAATAGCCTTACTACTGTACAACACATAGCTATACTGCAACACATAGCCATACTACAACACATAGCCATACTACATCACATAGCCATACATGTACTACATCATAAAGCTTTACTATATCACATAACCATACTACACCACATAGCAAACTACATCACATAGCCAAACTACATCACATAGCCATACTACATCACATATCTGTACTACAACACATAGCCATACTACATCAAATAGCCTTACTACAACACATAGCTATACTGCAACACATAGCCATAATACAGCACATAGCCATACTACAACACATAGCTATACTGCAACACATAGCCTTACTACAACATATAGGCATACTACATCACATAGCCATACTACATCACATATCTGTACTACAACACATAGCCATACTACATCACATATCTGTACTACAACACACAGCCATTATATATATCATATATGCATTTCGTCCATTTTGGAGTAGTTAATAGTATTATGATGATCAAACGAAAGATGAAATGTTTCTTAAGTGTTTGGAAACATTTTTCAAAAGTGCAATGATAATTACAAATAGTGCTTTGATAATAAGATTAGCAAACGTCCATAGAACATGCTTAACAAATGATCCTCGGCCTGTATATCTCCCCTGTTAATTCCCTCAACTTGGCGATCGCGAGAAGTTGTAAAATGTGTTTGACAAATTTAGGCAATATCTAACATTTTATTGAGCCAAACATTTAACTGATGTCACTTTGTCAGCTCAAAATGGATCATTTGTATCATCTGGGGTAAAACTAATATAAAAACAAAATTGAGCAATAATACGAAATATTTCTGCCAGTCTGAGGGCATTTAAAATGAAAGTCCAATATTTTTTAACACTAGTTTGAATTTAGTTTATGTAGAAATACTCCTGCGGATCTTAGTCGGAAAATGTTAGCATAGCAGTCAGCGTAGCAGTCAGCGTTGTTTATACAGTAGAGCTTTAGATAATGCACACACATAGAAATACATAATGTAGGTAAGGAGTCCTGTGAGTATTATTTGAAAATAGTTTCGTTTTTGTCAAATTTAGTTACAGGGAAGTTAGGAAGAACTTGAATATGACAGTAAACACAACAGCGGACCGTTAGGGACACACCAATGGTACATGTGTACTAAAAGTCAAAAGAATGAAACTCCATGTCTAATTTTCTCCAGAAATGAAAATGAAAATTCGGACAAAAGGGAAAAATGCCCATGAAATCCTTTATATACAAATGTAGCATTACAATTTTTGCTATAACTTTTCATTCATATAAATCTGCCAGAATATAAGTTCCATCTACGGCAGAGTAATTTTAACATATATATGAATGATAAAATACAATGTGTACCGAAGTGTATATTTAAGCATTGAACTGTTTTTGTATGGCATTTATGATCTATTTGAATGACACAGCTTTGCAAGCAAACAACGCGCATTATGATTTGTTTGCTTGCAAAGCTGTGTCATTCAAATAGATCATAAATACCATACAAAAACAGTTCAATACTTATATTTACGTTTTCTCTGCCTCTTATGTTCTTTTTTAACTTATAATTTATATTTAAAATTTAAAATGCCCGCCTTATCGACAGTCCACACAAATTCGTTCAATAATTTGAACAGCGTATTGTCGCGTGCTGATTTGCAAACAAAGTAGTAATTTGAAATTTTAACAAATACTTCAATTTTATTCCACAATTCAGTATCAATACAATTGCGTATGATATGTCTATAGGATGATTTAAGTTTATCAATAGAAATCTGAGCTGAAAGTTAGATTTTAAATTGTTCCGATTTTTCCCCGGAACAAATTTCGCGCATGTGTAGAAGTACGGGTTGTTAGGGTGTGTATAGGCCTATACTGGTATGTACGTGTGCATGCAAGTTACTATCGAGGTGTGCATGTGGATCGGTGATTGTGTGAGGGCGTGAATGAAGTGAAAACTGTATTAAATACCTTGTGCTTGTTATTTATGCATTACTGTCGCTGGGATTTGTGGCTGTCACTCGTGTCGTCCATGTTGTTTATTTACTTTCCTATTTCCGTCACTGTTCAGAAGCTAGACCTTAGCTGATTGGTTCACGACTCCAACGTGTTAGCTTGGCTGTCATTGGCTGCCGGTTAGTATAAACACGGCAATACACGTGCAAATCTTCGTCTGCTGGATAACCGATACATCCGGTAGTGAAGCGGACGTAAAACCTATCAATCAATCAGTGCAAATCTTCAGTGAGGTAGTAGCTCTGAGAGCTGAATCTAACTCGTCTATCTTGTCTGTCCTCTTTACGGGTCTGTGTCTATAAGGTGGGTGTGAATGTACAATGTTACTTGTGTTTGTGTATGTCCCGGGCAAAGCCAAGTAGCTGACCCGCTATGTTAATTAAGTGTCCCAGCGGTGGCCGTAGGTAAGGGCCCTCGTCGTGTTCTTGTGTACATGTTTGTTTACTTCTCTCTTATGTAATAAAGTCTATTAAATGTTAGTTGGGACTTGTTCATTTGTACGATAGGAACCACGTGGAACCCTAGACTAGAACCTGGGTTGACTTATACGATGACCGAGGTCACTCCTCCTACACATGGATAAATACAGTGAACACCGTGAATCCGAACTTGACCTCCACGAGGGAGTTATTTTTGGAAGTTTTTGTGAAGTATCCAGACGTGAATTTATTTGTTGATTGTGTGGGAATCTGACTGCAGTCGGTAGATTATATAACAGCCTCGTTATTTGACATGTCGTGATCTGAAACTGAAGAAACCGTGGCAGCGAGACGCGTGAAACTGATATCGTTTGAAGTGAGTGATCTTGCGACGGAGCACAGGGGTTCGTTACAAATGTCTGAAATGTTAATGTGTGCTGTGACTCATATCAGTAGGTCTGTAACATATTTGTCAGTAGGTCTGTATTTCAGACATTTGTAACGAACCCCTGTTGATCAGTGCAGTGTAACAGACGATATTTCTGATAAATTGCAAGAATGTCAAAATTGTTTCCATTGCCAGCATTGGTGATTTCAACCGATGTGCATTTTGTACGATATTGCAGGCCTTGGTCTTGTTTTTGTTGTAATAAAAGTATTTTTTATTTTATTTTTTATTTTGCACATAAATTTACAATGCCATTGTCAAGTCTCACAATGCCCAGCGATATTTCAGCAGCCGTCATGTTTATTTACATTGGATAAATACGCTAAGAACTGTGTCTCGTGTTGCATGGGAATTAAAGTCCCATCAACGACACAGCTTTCAAAGAGGCTATATAGTGACAATGCCATGCAAATGTAAATATATGTATATAAGTGTGATAAAAACAAGGCGTACCGAACGAACGTGATCGTTCCTTGGACGTAAACCATTCAGCATATCTAAAATAATAAATGAACCAAAACAATGCAGTCTCAAATAATCACGAACACATTTCAAATGTAAATTGAAAATGCAAAATTTAGTTATTTGTTTAGATATAGCAGACATCTTAAGTATATGGTTAATCAATATCGCCTCAACAGGGAAAAACGATTCTTTGGATTAACCTCTATCCACGATACTATGGAAAGCCTGTACGGGTCACCAAAAAAGTTTATGTCGTAGTAACGACTTACTATCTCGAAACAGCGACCCAGCTATGTCGTAGTAACGACTTACTATCTCGAAACAGCGATCCGGCTATGTCGTAGTAACGACTTACTATCTCGAAACAGCGACACAGCTATGTCGTAGTAACGACTTACTATCTCGAAACAGCGACCCAGCTATGTCGTAGTAACGACTTACTATCTCGTAACAGCGATCCGGCTACGTCTTAGCAACGACTTACTTTCTCGTTATAACGACAAAGATTGTCATGGATACGACATGGTAATTCGTTATTACACTTTTTCCTCGGTGACGCGTTCCGGCGTTTGAACGATACAGCTAACCAATTATTCCCCAGGACCTAGAGACCGTACTGAAATCGGCTGAAACAAACTGACTTTTGGTAAGAACTATTAACTTAAAAATATAAACTTCATAGTTGTCATGTATGTGGCTATAAGAATATGGTTTTGCCATACAAAAAATCGTTCAACGGGAGGTAACTCGTTTTCCACTGTATCGTTGTCCCCAGTAAGATGGTGTTTTTTTTGCTTTCTTTATTATTATGGGAGGAGTGGTAATAATAACAATAACATTTAAAATGTTCATGTAGCTTTAAAAACTCAACATGATGTGTTCAAATAGATTCAGTGAGGCGACAAACCGGTAGACATATACGGTGACCCGTTAGAGCTATAATATGAAAATGATTTATTAATGACTGCCAATAATTTATCTGGAAACGAGGCCGCCAATTGCTTATCACACAGAAGTTTATGAATCTATAATTTATTCATTTACTTTTGAAATTAGCAACAGACGTCTTAAAAAATCTTCACATATTCGGTTAGACGATGGAAAAAAATACTGTTGCCCGATTCATACAATGCACATGCGAGCACCTTCCTAAACTAAATTGATAGTTACGATTCTTCAACACGACTTATCGACATGTCATCAAGCCAACAACAGCTGGTCACTGTTAGTCAGTTATTCCTGCCCGAATGCCCCGTGGTACAATGAAAATTTCTGCGTAGAAAAACAGAACCGTAGAAAAGCAGAGAAAGTGTCAAGGATCAAATTAACCGTTAACCAACATATTTATAGGGAACAATTTCGATTAGTTGGTTCACTTCTCATTCAGTTAAAGAAAGCTTATTATTTCGAAAGAATTGAAGAATGTGGCAAGGACCATAGACAGCTTTCAGAAAGGTAAAACTATCCTACCAAGCTGTAATTTTGAAAAAGACTTGTCAAATAAGTTCAATGAATAAAATTAGCTCGACCAGGAAAATATTGCCGAAGTGAACTATACTGCTGACAATGATATCTGACACTACATTTGATGGGGAACCATTGACAAAGCTCTCACCAACAACCCAGTATCAAATATGCCTTTTCTGTCTAAGATTTTGAATAAAGTTATTCCCGGCGTTTAGAGGTTCTCCATGCAAACAGTCTCCATGACAACCTGCAATCGGCCTACCGCATGGGACACTCCACTGAGACGGCCCTCCTACGTGTCCATAATAACATAGCTTCTGCATTGGATAACAAGTGCAGAGCGGTGCTTGTTATGTTGGATTTGTCAGCTTCATTTGACGTCATCGACCATGGCATAATTTATAAACGTATCACACTATGCTGGATACAATCTTATCTGCGTGAACGACGACAGTGTAATGCCATCGGATAAACCTACTCACATGACAAAGTATTCGGGGTTCCTCAAGGACATGGGTCGGTGTTAGGACAAGGGTCGGTGCAGTTGGGATACAATTACAGAAAATCTGAAAGCATGTCTGACATATATCAGTACCTGGATGAACGCCAACATGCTAAAGCTTAATCAGGAAAATACGGAACTAATCGTCTTTCCCCCAAAGTGTCAGCAAGCAATGGCTCTCCAGCTCAAGGTCGGTGCCAGAACTATTGAGAGTAGCCCAGCTGTTATAAACCTAGGTTATACTTAAATACTATTGTCAAATCCTGTTACTTCCAGATCAGGAACATCGGCTATTTCCGGCAGTTTATAACTGCAGATGCATGCACTTTTTTGGTGCATTCACTTGAAGCCTCTTGGTTAGATTATAGTAACGCCCTGTTCTGTGGTATATCTGACAAACTAACTAGTCGTCTGTAGAGGGTTCAGAACACTGCAGCACGGCTGGTTACTCGTTATCGAATGAGAGAACACATCACAACTGTGCTATATTCATTGCACTGGTTATCTATACGACACAGGTCGCAGTACAAAATTTTAGTGTACACATACAAGGCACTGAATAGAACAGCTGCCCAGACCCTACAGGAGCTCGTTACCCTTTATCAGCCGTCACGATAACTGCAGTCGGAGTCAGAATCATTGTTGTGTGTCCCAAAATCTCGTACTGTGACCATGGAAACCGGTGCTTTGGGAGGGTTTCGGCCACGTTGTGGAATAGCTTACCATCTGCTATCAGAAAGTAAAATACCCTCGCAAAATTCAAGAAAGACAAAAAAACTCATTTTTTTCATGTCTGCATTGTATACCACCCTTTATTTATTCATTTATGTGCACATTGCGATGATTATCTGCTTGCTTAATGTATAAAAGTGATTGTTAGCCTTTGGTTTTTGTTTCACAATTATAACTAATTATGTATAATACCATTATCCATATGGTGTAAAGCGCTTTAGAGTAATTTTACAGTTCATATAGGGCACTATATAAATGTTGTATATTATTTATTATTATTATAAGAGTTTTAACACATATGCTACATCTTCTTTTGATGGCAGTACCTGTATTAAACTATTTATATATTATTCATATACTTTTCATTTCAATGAATATCCTAAACATAGAGACGTTTTCAAACGACAATTTGCGCGACATAACACTTTTCTTTGGCCAAAGGAACAAAGGACACGAATTTTTACACATCATGAACTTACTAAAGCAGATGTGAAATCATTGCTCTGGAAGGATACATACATTTCGTTTTTTTTATTATAAAATTATAACAATATCTACTCGTAACAGGAACCGTTACACCATAAGGTGCCGAAACTAACCAAGTAGTCGCAAGTGATGCATCAGAAAATGATCGCAATGCCATAATACTAGGGTTGTCAAACCGGTCTTATTTTTGTAACCGGTCACTTTTCTACCGATCGAGCAACAGGTTAATCGGTCAATTTGGTAGTCAAATAATAAACAGCTTCAAATAATAATATGTTTGGAAAATGTTCTATACCACAGACATACATGTATATATTAATTAACATGATAGTTTGCTCGTGTATTTCACTCCGGATTATCTTTACATCTCGCATGTAAAGGCGCGTTCTATCTCAGAAAGTTGATATTTCACAAGTCTGGCTTCCTTTTAAAATCAGTTCAGATTTTGTTATGGTCGCATCTATAGAAATGCAGATAGTTGTAGGTCAAAACCAGGGAAACATGGAGTAAATGTCCGACTTTTCGGTTAAGGATTTTGGTAATCGGTTAACCGGCTCACCGTTGACAACCCTACATAATACATCTACATACCAAATCTATAATATCAGTCAATAACTAAATGTCGACCAATCAGGACCCGACTTAACACGGACATTTTGTCAAATAAAAATAATCAACGCATTAGTGACACTGCACACTTTTACATAAGGATATTGGACAATGCATGAATTTCAGAAGCCAGTCTGTAGCAGCCATTTTGCAGAAGATGTTGACCTTTTTTCCCATCTTCAAGAACACGATAAAAATATTCAATAAAACAACGTTCATTGTGGTCAGTAAATCAGAGCAGAAATTGTTATAGCCTGAAATGACTCAGCAAATGATAGGCCATGATTTAGAACTGTTCGGAAACTTAACATCGAATGTCATTAGTAACTACATGTATTATATGTAACTGCAGTACACCTCTATTACTATGATATTTGTATCCCTCTGTAAAACCAAGCATGCTTATACATTAAATCTGTGTATGTAACATATCTGTGTATACCATTGTAAGTCAAATGTGTTGAGATAAAATAAAATCTGAGGCCCAGAGGGCCTATATCGCTCACCTGGATAATAAAGCAATCCCAAATAATACGTATTACAAACAACCCCTCCAATGGTACAGAAGAAGAAGTATTTTGAAGAATTAAACATCAAATTCTCCTATTGAGCCCTGCAACTCTGCACCCACAGGGGCCACATCCATCACGTATACAGAATTAAGACCCATTTGGCCTAGGTGCTCCAGGCCAAATTTGGATAAAATCCCTGAAATGGTACACAAGGAGAAGGATTTTAAAGATTTAAACCTCAATTTTCATTTTGAGACCCGCTCCTCTGCACCCAAAGGGGCCTCATCCACCGTTTATACAAGATCAAGTCCTATTTGCCCAAGGATGATCCAAACCAAATTAGGATAAAAACGCCTTATTCCTACGGTAGAAGCAGGGTTTCAAAGGTTTAACCTCTATTTCCCCGCACCTCTTGACCTTGGGAGTCCAACACAACAATTTTAACAAGATTGAGTCCCCTTGGCCCATGGATGCCCCAGACTAAATTGGGACAAATTGGGGGGCACACCAAACGTTATACAAAATTGAGTCCCCTTGTCCCAAGGATGCTCCAGACTACATAAGGATGAAACCCCTTTATCCCTAGGGTAAAATAAGGATTTCAAAGGTTTTATCTCTATTGTCCCTCACCCCTCTGCCCCCAGGGATTCCAAACCAACCATTTATCTAAATTGAGTGCCTTTTGCCAAAGGATGCTCAAGATTAAATTGGGATGAAATCCCATTAACCCTATGGTAGAAGAAGGCTTTGAAAGGTTTTACCTCTATTTCCCCTATTGGGCCCACTTCTCTGCCCCCATGGGGGCACACTCACTGTTTATACAAAATTGAGTCATCTTGGCCTAAGAATGCGTCAGACCAATTTTAGTCCAAATCTGCTGGATCGTTCAGGACTAATAGCATTTTAAAGGAAAAGTTGACGGATGGACGGACGGACGGTCGACGGACGCTGCGGTATGGCATAACAAGATTGTCTGGTCGGTATTGACATCGGACAATGCTATATGCTTTTGTTTGAGGGCATGTGATAGCTAGTTCGGCTTGGGGAAACTTAAATGAATAAAACAAACAGTTAGGAACGTATATAGATAAACACATACTTACAATATACCATAAGTATCAGGAGAATGTAGGCTTTAATTGGAAACAGTTGGACGACGTCATAGGAGTAGGTATTCAATATTTTCAGTATCCTGCTCGAGTTGAACACGAACTGCTGTCAACATTAAAATCAATGTGTCAAAAAGATGAACGTAAGAGAAACGTGTGATTGCAACATTAAGTTTAAGTAAATTTGTAGAAACGAAGAACAGACCTGTATCCCACTGTATGGGAACCGTAAACTAATGTGGCACCCGTCTCCATATGACTCTGGCTGTTTCGAGGACGATGCACCCCAAACAAACTACTTATAGACCAAAACAAAATGGTTGGTTGGGGATAACCGTAGACTAAAAGTGAATTAATAAAGGATCAACACGATCAACCCCTGGATAATTGGACAAAAAGACATGTGGTGGCTGGATAACTGGACAACAGGACAGTTGGTGGCTGGATAATTGATCAACAGGACAGTTGGTGGCTGGATAATGGGACAACAGGACAGGTGTTGGCTGGATAATGGGACAACAGGACAGTTGGTGGCTGGATAATGGGACAACAAGACATGCGGTGGCTGGATAATGGGACAACAGGACAGTTGGTGGCTGGATAAAGGGACAACAAGACATGTGGTGGCTGGATAATGGGACAACAGGACAGTTGGTGGCTGGATATTGGGACAACAGAACAGTTGGTGGCTGGATAATGGGACAACAAGACATGCGGTGACTGGATAATGGGATAACTTGCCTAGTTGATGGGATAGATGAGAATTTAACAGTGTTCCCTGAGAAGAGACAAGCGGGTTACTAGATTATGGTTTTGACCATCCTCCATACTTCAGAGGTTAGCTCATTACCGTACAGAGAGCGTAAGTGAGCGTAATCCCTCGAGAACCTAGGATGGGTTTTAATGAAAGTTGATGTCATACATGTGTATTTGGAATAGAAAGATAGAAAACATAAAACACAAATACATAAAAATACACAAAAAAATAAATACATAGAATAGAAACAACTAAGTCCGAAATTTAAGATGACATTTTAAGAATTTGTTTTTCCTAATTTAATTCTACATAATCTCAAAAAGCATAAGTTGAATGATATAGCGTTGTTGATGAGTTGTTGATGGACTGTGTTGTTTAATAACCAACATTTAGTACAACAAAAATTTAGTCTCATCGCAGAGTCAGTGAGTTGTTCCCTCATTTTAGGGATAAAGAGGAGACAAATGTAGCAACACTTGAGACCTCCCTTATTTATCTCTTATCTGCTCTTTCTATCCGACAGTCAATTAGGTTCGTGGTTAGAATAATGTAACCGAATTGTGTGTCAAGCAACGAGAGGATCCCGTCGTCACATGGCTTGAGTTTAGGTTAGGGCTTAAAATCCGACTCAACCGATCAGTTAATAAGATTAGTCTTAATAAGATGATCTTACCTTACGAACACACGTTGATCCCATCCGGGACTTCAACATTCTGTAAAAGCCAACTGATATCGAATACAAGGAAAATAACTTAGGTCGTCTACAGACACGTACGTGTCCAGACATTTTGCTACAGTTGTATGACAGGATACAAAACTACAGCCGGAACCGGAGTTAAAGCCGAGACGGAAACTACTTCAGTCCAAGTCGCATTCCATATTTTTCATGTGCATCATCTTCACGATTTTGTTTTGATTTTAGATATGTTCAATTCCAATGCTTCTATAAGGTATTATCCGTCTGTCCTTTCCTAGAAAATAACATTCTTTATATCTATATATACTTATATATGAAGCTTCTAACTTTGGTGAAACCATTTATAACCACGTTACATAATATATACTAAAAAGCTATGATAGTGACATGTCAGGCGACATTTATGTATTGTGTTGCTAAATTCCACTAACAGTGTAACCGTGCTCATAGAGACAGCAACCGTATTGTATTTTAAGTCGATACACACAACGATATATAATATTTCTAAAGCGACAAGGAAGTACAACATGGATCAGGAATGCACAAGGAAAGAGATACCGAGAACAGTATACAGTTGTTTCATGCCTTATCAGTGCGGCCTCGGGAAACAGTTCATCTGGAGGGTCCCAACTCCTCGGGAAAATGGTTTTGACTGTTGACTGATAAGGCATGAAACAACTGTTTTGTTACTTGACCAATGAAAAACCAAAAAGTTCTATGTCGAATGTGATGTTTAGATCTACCGACAGGCAACCGTCAACAATCCAGTACCAAAAACGCTTGGTCATCGGGGTGCTTGTAATTATAGGTGCGTTCGATTACCTAACATGTGACCAGTCAACAGTTGCACGTGACCAGTCAACAGTTTCACGTGACCAGTCAACAGTTTCATGTGACCAGTCAACAGTTTTACGGTGACCAGTCAACAGTTTTACGGTAGCACACATTAGCTATAGTTTGTTTGGTGAATTGTCTGGGAAACAGTTGAAATTGATACATATGCATTTATATAGCGAGTCAGGTAACAATATACAATTGTTTCATGGCAATTTGGGGAACAGTCAAAACTATCATCCCGAGGTAGGGGAAAGCCCTGGGGAACTGTTTCCCGAGGCCGCTAGGCCGAGGGCAAACAGTTCCCCAGGGCTTTCCCCTACCGAGGGATGATAGTTTTGACTGTTCCCCAAATTGCCATGAAACAATTGTTTTATTACCAAATACATATAAGTATCAATGCTGTGTGTTATGATGTTAATTTGTTTAAAAATCACGAAAAAGGTCAAATAACAGCTTAAAATTGGTTTATTTTTTTGTTTCAATGCAAAAAACAACCATTACTAATGATGATGAATATGAACAATAGAATTTTGAAAGTTGTAAACAGGAGCTACATAGTTAGATCTTTGAACAGTGTTTCTGATCATTGTTTCCTGAGAATTGTGTACAGGCAGGTCTTGGTTACATGACACTGGAACTATACATTTGACTCTATAACAAGAATTTACCTGTGGAAAGATAAACTTGCCCTTTCTCGGAAAAGATAGCCTACATGCGTCATGACGCTGGTTTTGCAAGCTTGACCTCTGACTACTATACGCATTCTCGGTTCTTTTTTATTTCCGTATCGCTATTTTTTTTGTTTGATTGCATCACTACTCTATATATTAAAGGACACAGACTAGTCAACAGTAAACAATAACAGCACGTGTCCGCCATCCTGGCTAGTACACACACAAACCGAGTTCCGATTCCCACATGTCGTTTGGCGCCTACACACGTGGATACTGCGTCTCCTTGTGTCAAATGTATCTGGTGACACAAGTAAAGGATCCGTTTGGAATGCAATGTGTATTCGATAGCTCCACAATTATGGGAGAAACATTAAACCGTCCAAACCAAAAACACTGATAGGCGTGTACTCCGACAGTGATGAATGAAATTGTTGCCGCCAGGCAAGTCCCTAAATGACGTTGGCGTTTAAAAATAGTTCCTTTGTATTGATTGTGTAAAAAGAATTGTTGTTTACACTTATTATAACAGATAGTTACTGACAATTACAGTTGTTGGATATCAAAAATAAATATTGTTAACGTTGTGCTTTGAATGCAATTCTGATAATGTGTTCAGGGTTCATCTCCCCTATAAAATTAACATAACTGTAGTCATGCACGCTGTCATGGATGGAACAAGCATATGAACACGTGTAGAGTATTGACACCTGCATGTTTATTTCGAGTATGGGAGAACCAAACATGGTTGTGGTCCGTTGACAGGGAAATCACAATCCGAGGGTAAGAGTGAAGCCTCGTGCTGGACAGCAAAATTCTTACCCTCGGGTTGTGCTATTTCTGTCCACGGACCATATATGAGATTCCATTAATCATACGAGTTTCACACAAGGAAATGCATATCGCTTCATGAAAGCCAGACACTTTGACCTTCAAAGATATCAACATTATGGAAAGAGAGGTGCGGATTTCACTGTCGCACATGCCCATAGTTATTTTCTATAGTGTACTTGAGTACTATACTATTTTATAACATATAGTCAGACAAAAACTTACCTTTTTTATGCTCTTGGCGTGAAATATTCATATCGGGCGATTCCATTGATATTTAGATATGGTCTTGTTCCGATGTATCGTACACACTCGGTGACGTCATACTACTTACAACTTCCGAGTCTCATTGACCATACATATGTATATACTACTCACAGCTACCGAGTCTCATTGGCCATACATATGTATATACTGCTTACAGCTGCACAGGTTTTTTCAAACCTTTTTGATTTAATAATCAAGAACATGAAGGTGCCATGTCTGTTGTTACCATGACACTGAGAGGCGCAATGTTCTCTTGTTACATGTACCATTGCACTTATAGGCGTTATGTTTTGTTGTTACCATGACACTGAGAGGTGCCATAAAAAAGGCATGTTTTGTTGTTACCATGAATTTGAGAGGCGCCATGTTTTGTTGTTACCATGACACTGAGATGTGCGATGTTTTATTGTTACCATAACACTGAGAGGCGCCATGTTTTGTTGTTTCCATGACACTGAGAGGCGCCATGTTTTGTTGTTATTGTGACACTGAAAGGCGCCATGTTTTCTCTGTCCGGGTATTGTTTATGACGTCACTATAATTGTTTATTTTGATGACGTCACTAGAGTTGTTTGCTACGTAACTACTGACAACTTTATTTCACTAAAGGCAACTAATAACGAACCTTCATCTATATAACTATTTGTTTGTAAATAGGCCTACATCTATATCATATTCTTTTTCTAACTGTGCCTTCATCGATATCATTATATTTGTGTAGATATACCTACATCTATATCATTATTTGTGTGTAGATATGCCTACATCCATATCATTATATTTGTGTAGATATGCCTACATCCATATCATTACTTGTGTGTAGATATGCCTACATCCATATCATTATTTGTTTGTAAATTGGCCTACATCTATATCATTATTTGTGTGTAGATATGCCTACATCCATATCATTATTTGTTTGTAAATTGGCCTTCATCTATATCATTATTTGTGTGTAGATATGCCTACACCGATATCATTATTTGTGTGTAGATATGCCTACATCTATATCATTATTTGTGTGTAGATGTGCCTACATCTATATCATTATTTGTGTGTAAATTGGCCTACATCTATATCATTATTTGTGTGTAGATGTGCCTACATCCATATCATTATTTGTGTGTAAATTTGCCTACATCTATATCATTATTTGTGTGTTGATATGCCTACATCTATATCATTATTTGTGTGTAGATATGCCTACATCTATATCATTATTTGTGTGTAGATGTGCCTACATCTATATCATTATTTGTGTGTAAATTGGCCTACATCCATATCATATTTTTTTCACGTTTTCAAAGAACATTTACATGAAAGAAAAGAAAACAAAATGATCATTACAATCATTGCTACCATTATGTCGCTACAAAATACAAATACAGAACCTATTATTGGATATCAAATATTTAAACAATCCCTCATTGTCTGGAAGAAAAGGCCACTGTTCAAACAAACCCCACCGGGCATCCCAAACATCTCCGGTTGATATCATACAAAACTATCAACATTCGATATTTCATTTCAAATCGATTTGCTAAAGAACACAATATTATGTGTTGAGTCCATTAATTGGGCGTCTTAATGAATGCAATGCAGTAAAATGAAATACGAGGTATTCGATCGACCTGAAGTTCTACCAAATTAAAGAATTAGGGACGCCCTTAAGCTTTGACTGTGGTACCAGTCTCACAAAGATTGGGGACTTATTGATGTATGCAAGTGATCCACTCGTCAGAAACAACCCACAGGTCCTGTCTACGCAGTATCGAATAGAGATTATTTTGAGAATTGAAAACGCTTTTGTAAAAGGATAAGGCATGGTTAATACCGAGGCCTTTTGGAAACGTGAAAACACGATGACTGGAATACTCCTAAACTTCATCATCTCTTTTATGATCTATAGCAGACAAACGCATTGGTAAGGTTTATAACGTTTGTGTTTTAAGTAAATCATAATTAAGATAAATTCTTCAGGGTATCAATAAATATTTTATCATTGTTTTAGTGCCAGTTTCTGTGATCAACGTCAAAGTGGATATTACGCCGATCCCACAACTTGTTACAAGTTTTACCATTGTGACCTGTACGGGGTGGCTTTCAGCCATGACTGTGCTGCCGGCCTAATCTGGAATGACGAAGTGTTGACTTGTGTCACTGATCCCTACAACGGAAATTGTTTGCCGACGGTCTCTGCAAGTAAGTAACCTAATTTAGAAAAGAGATGAAGAAAAGGAAACAAAACAAAATTGGTGAGAAAAAAATGGAGTTGACCAATTGATATCCTTTCTATACAACAAAATAAATATATGTAACAATGAGTAGTTTTAGTTCATCCGTTAATTTGTATGCGTATTTTCTTATTTTTGTATAAGTTTGTGGTCGTGTAAAAGGTACGTTCTAATTGACATAAATCGCCAAATACCTTTGGATTATAGGGTTGTTTTCAGTACTGCCAAACTTGCTCATGCGA